TATTCAGCCGACGGCCCGGCCGCCGAGCAGAAGCTCAGGCCGCCCCGTCGCGCGGCCTGGGCCATCGGCCCCCGTCGCCGAACTCGGCGGACATGGAAGCTGCGACGGGGGGCGCTGTTCCAGGCCTCCTCCCCCAGAGCCCTGCTGCGGCAGAGCATGTCGCTGCAGCCATCTGCGGCCAGGTGGCCGACCGCCCAACCAGGCCAGTTCTCGATTGTCTCGGCGTTATCCAACAGATTCAGAGTCCGACTGCCAGAGCTTACAGCTCAGCACAAGTTTTCTGGAATTCCGAAGTTTACCATTGAGCTGGATGGTTCTATGATTTTAGAGGCTTCCCACGTAAAGGCCCATCGTTCGGATGGTGGGCTGAATCAGCTCAGGGGCGATGAGCGACGTTTCGGCCAGGGCAATAATATCGTTGATTACAGTGCTAATCTGGCCCTCGCTTCCCATCCTGCTCCACCCCCGCATTCTTGCAGTCTGTTGAGGAGGCGGAGATGCGCGCAGGGATTTGTGTTAAAGTGGCCAGCGCGACCCTTCCCGGCTTTCGGTGGCGTCGACCAGCGGCCGCGAGCCATCAGAGATCCCGAGCTAAGCAGAGCTGGCACCTGTTGCGTCGGACTGAGCTCGGAACCCAGCGCGCTCATTGTTTGATCAGATGCGCGGCTTCTGATCACCCCGCTAACGGCCGTCAGGGAACGCCGCCGGCCATGTCGAAGTTGATCGCAAATCCCACGGGGCATCCCCTCGTCGCTGCGTCGGTACCGGCTCTTATGACTGCTTCTGGTGTTTCCTCGGGGCCCACTGGGGGTCCTGGGCGCACTGAAGTTCAGGGGCGACAGCTCATATGTTTCAACTGTGGTGGCTGGACTCACGGGCGGATGCTTAAACTGGCGAAGCAATGTTAGCCCCCACCCCTTAGGGCTTGGAGGTGTTGAGCGCGCTTCGTCAGGGTATCGGGCCAACTCCCAAGTTGTGGGAACGGCTAGAGCAAGCCAGATTTCGATTTGACGCGACCCTCGCAGGTCCCAGGGGTGCGCAGAGCGCGTCGTCTGCCCCCGAGGTTTCTCCTCGAGTGGAACCGCCCCACAGCATGAGCAGAGACTGGCAGCCCTTTTCGAGAGATTGATTGCCAAACAGCAAATTGTCACGTGGCATAATTTTAGTAACCCTGCCAGTCCTTGGCGCGGTCACCGTCCGACGTTTCCCCTGGCGCTGTCTTGTTCTATCATATATGATTTTAGTTTATCTTACATTGTCCTCCTCCTCCGTCCCTTGCCCTTATGAAGAGCTCCTCCCTCTCGCACCCGCAGACGCGCCAGGGGGGGGGCAGACCAGGCGTTTCGCCCGACACCCCTCAGTATTTGCGACCTTGAAGTTTGAAGTGCAAAACTGTTTTAAGGATGGAGGGCGGTTCAGTTTCAAATGTGGTTTTCGCCGGCGCGTTGCGAAGGTTCGTTTCAAAGCAGCAACAACTGACAACATATTCAAGGATAGATGACGGGTCGTTGGCTCTCGCCTGGGCGGCGCGCACACTCGTCGTAATCGTTTGCAGTAGATTAAAGGATGGATGTTGGTTCCTTCTCTTGTGCGATTATCGCTTCAGGGCCGCGCACGTTCGCCCCAAAAGTCTGCAGCAGGTGCAAGGATGGAGGGCGGGCCGTATTTCAAAGTGTGGCTCGTTTTCCAGCGCCGCGCGCATTCGTGTTTTCACGTTGCAGCAACTTCAAGGACGGATGGTGAATGTTGCCTAACGCCGCGCACTGTCGTATTAAAGGTTCACAACAGTTTCAAGGAATCGTACGGTTAGAATATTGGGAGCTATGTTCTGGCACGGCTTAGGACCACCAAGGCGCAACAGCCACACAGGCCCGCGGCTGTTGTTGGACACGAGTTGCGATTGTGAGGGCGCAACAATCAAGTCGATTTGCAGCGTTGAAGTCCCAGAAGCGGCTTGTTGTCACGACTGGGAAGTTTCAGACGACTGTCTTCCAATGGGCCATTTCCCGCGATGCACGCAGTTTGGAGGGACCCGTGAAGGGATATTTTGGGGGGAGGATGTGTTGCAACATCGTTGACACGTCTTGGATTTACATTGGCATCCCTCTTCCTAGCGCCTCCTCTTCGCCCTTCCTCCTCCTCTTCGTTCCTCCGCATTCCCTCCTGCTCCTAGCCCCCCCTCCTCCGCATCCCCCCTCCTCCCCCTCCACCTCATTAATATTATCATCCTCCTTCCTCGTGCTCGATCCTCCTCTTCCTCTTCCTTCTCTTCCTCCTCCTCCTCCTCCTCCTCCTCCTCCTCCTCCTCCTCCTCCTCCTCCTCCATCTTCTCTTTTCGTCGTCCTCCTCCTCCTCGCCCTCCTCCTCCTCCTCCTCCTCCTCCTTCCTCCCTCCAGGCGCATGGGTCTGTGCAAATTCCGTTCTGGCATGTACTCGGCAGAAGTGGGACGCGCAGGGCACAGCCAGGTACAGGTTCGCGCCTCCGCATGTTGGGCTTGTCCACGGCACATGTTGGCACGGTATGTGCACAGCTCCAGACGCCAGGAAGGAGAAGCAGAACGAGGATGGAGGAGGAGGAGGAGGAGGAGGTACAGACAATCCCAGAGGGATGGGGAGAATAAGAGGCGGATAAGGAGGAGCTGCGTGCACGGTGCGTTTGACAAGAATGGTCGGGAGCATGGCGCTCTTCAGTGTGTGGTTTATGGGAATGTATGGCATGTTCGGGGTGGTGTGGTGTCCGAGCTGCCCCGCGACAAGGTGCACAGGTGGGTGCGCACCGCTTGTGAGGCATTTGCAGCACAACGAAGACACCCAGTTAAGATGGGGGCCACGATGGGGGGATCGGGATATGGATTATGGTGGGGAGGGGGGGGGATATAGGATAGGGGTATCGGAATTGGGATACAGGGATTGGGATAGGGATAGGGATAGGGAGAAAGACAGGGATAGAGGATAGGGGTACAAGAGATGGAGGGACAGAGAGATGGAGGTGGAGGGATGGAGGGATGGGGACAAGGACGGCAGCGGTTGGCCACGGAAGGCGACGAGCGTCCACGGGACACAACGGGAGGCCACGGGAGGGAAGGAATGGCAACACGGGAGGCAATGGGAGGCAATAGGAGTCAACATAGGGACCCCCCATTTCCGGATCCGCTAAGCATTAGGCCTTACAGGAACGTACACACATATATAGAATACAAGCATATATATACATATATATATATACATGTATACATGTATACATCTATATATATATATATACTAGAACCACGCGCGCGCTTCGCGCGCGCTTGGGTTCTAGCTAGGAGGCGAGCTTGAGTCAACGAAAGTCGCAGGGAAGAGGGGGCAGGGGGAAGAAGGCCAGAGAGCGCTGAAGGATACAAATACTGGAACCCTCTTGTGATTTTGTGGGGGGCCTCGTCCGGCCGCTCGCTGGGAGTTTGACGTAGCTTCTCGGGAGCCTCTGAACCTGTCGGGGGCCTCCTGGAAGCAGGTTCGAAGCATTTTGGGGGCCGATTTGGGGCTTCTCGGGGCCTCCTTTGGGCCTCTTGGGGGTCTCCTGGGGCCTCTTGAGGGGCCTCCTTGGGGCCTCCTGGCGGCCTCTTGGGGCGGAAGGCTCGAGCTTGCGGTTCGTGGTCCCCCTCTGGGCCCCCTCTTGGGCCCGTCTTGGGGCCCTCTTGGGCCATCTTGGGCGCCTCTTGGGCCGTCTTGGGGCCCTCTTGGGCTGTCCTGGGGCCCTCTTGGAAGCTTCTTGGGCCGTCTTGGGGCCTCTCTTGGAGGCCTTTGGGCCGTGAAAGAAGCCCATGCGAAAAAAATAATAGGGAATGACACGATTTTTGTTTCTTGGACCTCTCTTGGGGTGCCTCTCGGAACGTCTTGGGCTGATTTTGGAAGCCTTTTGGCGCCTCTGGGCGGCGTTTTGGCGCCTCCTGGGATATGTTGGGCCGGAAGCTCGGAATTCGAGAGTGGCTTTCTCCTTCTGGGACCCCTCTCGAAGTCGTCTTGGGGTTCTCTTGGGCCGTCTTGGGGCCGTCCTGAGCCACTCGTGCGCAGCCTTGGAGCGCTCCCGGAGGCCTCCTAGGCCGTCTTGGAGGCCTCTTGGGCCGTCTTGGACGCGGTGAAAGCCCAAGATGCGAACATGCGAAAAATATACGTTTTCCCATAGGAATGGCACGATTTTTGTTTCTTGGACCTCTCTTGGGGTGCCTCTCGGAACGTCTTGGGGTGCTTTTGGGAGCCTTTTGGCGCCTCTTGGCGGCATTTTGGCGCCTCCTGGAGCCTCTTGGGCCGGAAGCTCGGAATTCGAGGTTGGCTTTCTCCGTCTGGGACCCCTCTCGAACTCGTCTTGGGGCTCTCTTCGGCCGTCTTGGGGCCGTCCTGGGCCACTCGTGCGCAGCCTTGGAGCGCTCCCGGAGGCCTCGTAGACCGTCTTGGGCGCCTCTTGGGCCGTCTTGGACGCGGTGAAAGCCCAAGAGGCGAACATGCGAAAAATATACGTTTTCCCATAGGAATGGCACGATTTTTGCTTCTTGGGCCTCTCTTGGGCTGCCTCTCGGAGCGTCTTGGAGGCTTCTGGGACCTTCTTGGTGTCATGACAGGCGTCTTGGAAGGCATCTGGAGCCATCGGAGCGCGTTCCGAAGCCGCCTGCGAACGATCTTGGACGGCGTCCGGCGGTCCGACGAGCCTCCGGGCCCCCCGGGGCCCACATTTGTGGTCGGGGTCCCGGCCCCGGGCCCCCGGACCCGGTGCGCCGTTATATGTATATATACATATATATATATATATATATATACACACATACAGCGCGAGGGAGAACCCTAACAGACACGCTGTCTGGGAGAAAACACATAACGTAGGAGAGGCACACTTGGCATAAACACATGGGGTCGTGCAAGTGCTGCTAGTCGTTTGCGTTTTGATTGCCCAGAAGTCCCTGCATCAGCGTTCGCTCTGATATTGCATTATGTGGTTAACATTTCCTGGAACGCGCCCTCTTCAGGTCTCATACTTGGAGCAGAATGGCATCGTAGACATGGACACTTGGAAGCAGCAGGGCTCGACCCTGATAAACAAAGCGCATGAGGACGCAGCCATGTACAAGAAGGCCATTCGCGCGCGATCTTGCAAAATACACGTGTTCTGAACCCCTTTCGCGGAAGATTCTAGCATCTTGTTTGCGTTAGTGGTATCGAGTTTCTGTCCACGAACCAGGGATGCAGCAGGCAGCAGGAGGAGGAGGAGAAAGAGGAGGGGGATGGTGTAAGAAGAGGAAGAGGAGGAGGCGGAAGGTAGGAGGAGGGGGCGGAGGAGGAGAAGGAAGAGAAACCCAGGGCGTCTCTCTTGCTACTCGATGGTACGTCTTGGGCAGAGAGGGCCCAGCCAACCCACTCATCTTTCTCTTCCTCCCCTCCTCGGCATCCCTCGTCCTCCTTCGCCCTCCTGGGTGTAGATAACTCTTCCCTGTCGCGCCATCAGATGTGTCCGTAGGCCAGGCCAGGCGTTTTGCATGAGAGTGTTGTGCGATATATATATATATATATATATATATATATATATATATACATACATATATGCACACATACATACCTACATACATACATACATACATACATACATACATACATACATACATGCGTGCATATATACATACATACATGCATGCATGCATGCATGCATGCATGCATACATACATACATACATACATACGTATATATACATATACATATACATATATATAGTTCCAAGGCTTCATATTTCCAGCGGCTACACGGATGTAGGCCGGGTTATTTCAAATCGGATTCTCGCCCTCATGCCGCGCACGTTTGTCACAATAAGCCTGTTGCATTTGCACTGATGGAGGCCCGACCCTTGTCAAAATGGGGCCATGACCGTCACATTCATTTGTAAAACTTACAGCAGTTACGCGGATTGAGGCCGATTGTTTTTTTTTATTGGGTGTTCACCAGATTTGTTCTCCAAGAATACAGCCAGTGACTAAACCATGTGCAACGGTGGAGGCCGGTTCACTGTCAAAATGGTTATCTCGTTTGTAAGGTTCCTGCGCAAACGTTACCACGTGAAGCTGTGCAACAGCTGCACGGATGGAGGGTGGTTCCTTTTCAATGTGTGGCTATCGCTTGGAATTTCGTCAAAGTTAGCAGAAGTTTGAAACGGATGTAACAACTGCACGCGCGGAGGGTGGTTCATTTGTAAAATGTGGCTCTCGCCTGGGATATCCTCAAGTTGAACGGCCAGAAGTGTAAACTTGCGCAGCAAGTACACTGATAGAGGGTGGTTCCTTTTGGAAACAGGATGTCCGCTGGTCATTTGCTTTAATGTGTTGGTCCTACCTTGCGTCCTTCTAACGAAGTGGACGGAATTGCCTTGTGTCTTACTAGCGAATTGTGCGGAGCGCGTGTTCCGGTTCAAGGTTCATCGGGTGTTCGTCGTTCAAGGGGACGTTGATTATATAGTGACGAGGAGGGCTTGTAGGGACTTATGAGGATTGAGGATTGAACTTTGGACGGAAGGGTCAGCATCGTTTATGCATATATGGTTTGTTTTGGTCCTCTTCCTCCTTGTCCCTCCTTCTCTGCTCCTCCCCTTTTCTCTCGGAAACCTCAGCACAGCTCCGTCATGATCTGGGCCTTGGAGTCGTAGATTTCTTGGGTAATTCCACATCCCAGCGTCGAGAACTTCTTGACCCAAAACATGTTGTTGAATTTGCGCACGTTTCCCCAGTTCTTAGCTACGCGTCTTGGCTCGCCTGCTGCAGGTTGGTCGGCGCATTGTTTCAGGTATAGTGTGGTTTCTTCCTCCAGCCTCCGCTCCGCCCTCGTCGGCGCTGGCGTCTTCGCTTCGGCCGTGAAGAAGGGGCGATGACGGTCCCGCGGCAGGACAGTTTGCCGACTACCCAGTCGCATCTCCAATGTTGGCATCGCGACATTGGGGCTTCGATGCGTCCAAGCAAAAAATCATTTGTGCCCACTTCATCCTCCCTCTAGGCCGCCCAGATTGACTTGGTTACTTTGTTCCTCCATGTACACCGCCGATGCATCGGCGACCCGGAAAGATCCTCCGACCCATCTTCTCTCGGAGGTCCACGGAGGTCTCGGGAAGTCTCCGGAGGTTTCCAAAGGCCTTCAGAAATTTCTTGAGATCCGGAGAAGGCCACCAGCATCCAAAGGTGTCGATCCCCGTTTTCTAATTAGTCGCAATACACTAGGCGTTTTCCTTGCCAGTTTTTCGAGCTGCGTCTCGCCGTGGCCACGACAGGGCCCCCATGAGCCGAAGTCCTGCAAAGACGAAGCCGTCCGCAGTTGGCCGCGTTCGGGCGGCCTCCGTTTTGCGCCACCGACGCCGCCATCGAGATGGGCTCCCAGCAATGGGCGCGTTGCGTGCCCGTCATTGCGGCGCTGAGCCGCTCCCCACCCCTTTCGTGGGCAAGCCGCGGGCGTTCCGGGGCGTGAGGCGTCAGTCCGGTTGCGAGCGGCCCGCGCGTGGCAGGCGAGCTAGAAGCCTAGCTTCCCACACGCACGAGAGGGAAAGGATTGTGGCCGAGCACAGCGTCAACCATCCTGCAGATCCTCCAGCACCACCCTTAGAGACCCCCCCCGGCCACGCTTAAGAGTGGCCTTTTCGCCAGAGTGACATTTCGCGCGGGCCTACGAGGGCCCCGCAAGCGCTTCCCTGCATGCTTGGATTTGGCGTCCCCGCAGCCCCTCGAGCCGCGCACCAAAGGTCACCTCTGCCTGAAGTTGCTCTTGCGTGCATCCCCCCGCTGGGGATGATGCGGCTCGCCTCTGGAGAGGGGGAGCCCCGCCCTGCATGGAAGCAACGCACGATGAGGATCATCTGGGAGGAGAAGGAGGAGGAGGAGAAGGAGAACAAGTGTAAACCCAAGAGTCATCAACGATGTTGGAACAAACCCTCCCTCCAAGCGCCCTCTTCCTAGGCCCCGATAGCGGTGAGGGAACTGCCTCGTTGGAAGACAATTCTTTGAAGATCCTGAAGCGTGCCAAAATATGGTTTTCGGGATTCCAACGCCACGGATCAACCTGACTGTTGCGTCTTGGCAATCCTGAATCGCGCCAGAACACAATTCCTGGACACCGCGAACTAACAAAATTACCTTGTGCAGCCTAATAAGCCTGAACCCTTCCAAAACACCATGTCTGGTGCGCTGATCATGGGAACCCGTGATATTATTGCAAGTGTTTAAGACGAATATGCGCGGCGCTAAAGCGAGAGCCACATTTTCAAAACCACTCGCCCTCAACCCGTGAAATTCTTGCAAATGTTGAAGACGAATGTACGCGGCGCGAAAGCGAGAGCCACATGTTGAAAACGACTCGCCTGTGACACTGTTGCCAATGCTTATGCTTCAGAGTCATAAATGGTGAGGAATTATCAGGCGAAACGCCCGCCCTAAAAATTGGCCTCGGGGTGCGACAGGGGAGGAGGAGGAGGAGGACGACGACGAGGAGGAGGAGGACGAGGAGGAGGAGGAGGAGATGGAGGAGGAGGAGGTGGAGGATGAGGAGGAGGAGGAGCAGGCACGAAGGAGGAGCAGGAGGTGGAGGAGGAGGAGCAGGAGGAGAAGGGGTCCGTAGCCATTTTGGCTCAAGCAGCCAAGGGTATGGTGTGCGATCGGCGTGGTTGGGGCTTCGGGGGCATCACGTTGCCCTCGTCGGGTTTTCTGGGGGAGCGGCGGAGAACTCTGCCGAGGTCCCCGCCCGCCCCCCAAGGGGGCGGGGTGCGGACCACACCACTTGCAAACCACACCCCTCGGAGTCGCCGACCCCTGGCCCGGGTGTTGCCAGCAGTGCCATTGGCATAAGGTGCCCCCAGGAATTCCAAGGAGGCCCCTGCGGCCTCCAGAGCACCGGAGGGAGAGGGGGAGGGGAAGGGGGTGAAGGAGGAGGAGGAGGATGAGGAGGCTCGCCTCTGGAGGTGACCAAAGGTCACCTCTGCCTGGGGTTGCTCCTGCGTGCAGCTCCCCGCTGGGGATGATGCGGCTCGCCTCTGGAGAGAAGACCAGTGTAAACCCAAGAGTCACCAACGATGTTGGAACAAACCCTCCCGCCAAGCTCCCTCTTTACAGGCCCCTACAACGGTTCGTTTCCATTGAAGGAACTGCTTCTTTGGAAGACAACTGTTTGAAGACCCTGAAGCGTGCCAAAACATGGTTCTCGGGATTCCAACGCCACGGATCAACCTGACTGTTGCGTCTTGACAATCCTGAATCGCGCCAGAACGCAGTTCCTGAGATTTCAACAAAGCGAATCAACAGAACTGTTGCACCCGCATAATCCGGAACCCTTTCAAAACACCATGTCTGGCGCGTTGATGATGGGAACCAGTGAAATTCTTGCACTTCTGTAAATCGAATGTGCGCCTCGCTAGGGCGAGAGCCACAGTTGGAAAAGGAACCACCCTCAAGCCGTGAAACTCTTGCAGTTTATTACACCAAATGTGCGCCGCGCTAAAGCGAGAGCCACACTTTGATAACGCCCCGCCCTCAATTCGTGAAACTCGTACAAATGTTTAAAACGAATGCGCGCCGCGCTAAGGCGAGAGCCACATTTTGAAAACGACCCGACCTGAGTCCGTGAAGCTCTTGCAAATTTGTAGAACGAATGTACGCGGAGCTAAGGAGAGAGCTACATGTTGAAAACGAGTCGTCCTCAATCCGCGAAGCTCTTGCAATTTTTTGAAAACGAATGTGCGCGGCGCTAAGGCGGGAGCCACATGTTGAAAACGACCCGCCTTCCATCTGCGAAGCTGTTGCCAATTTTTGAGCTTCAGAGTCATAAATGGCGAGGAAGTCTCAGACGAAACGCCCGGCCCGCCCTAAAACTGGCCCCGGGGTGCGACAGGGAGAAGTGATATATAAGGAAAAGGAGCGGAGGAGAGGAGGAAGAGGAGAGGAGGAGGAGGATCCGGGGATGGGCCGACTACGTAGGTGTCATTTTCTACCTCCTTGACGAGGCCCCCGTGGGCCGTGCCCCGATTTACTTCGAGACCCTCTCAGGATCTCCCGCTGGGTGGACGCACTGTTTTATCCGAGTTCGAGGCCACTTTCGAGCTCCGCATTTGACAGGAGCACGCCTCGAAGCACTTTTGCGGAAGAGGGTTGGAGGAAGGAGCGGATCTCACGGTGATATTGAAGTTTTGTTGGGAGTTTCAGCGAAAACACCAGTCTGGACATGCCAACCTTCTGGTGCCCCAAGTGCGGACAGCCGCAGACTCCCTTCCACCAGCAGTGGGAATGCCCACACCTCGTGCAGCAGGAAAGCACCACCTCTGACCTGATAGGACCAGCCCCAGCTGAGCACGAGGAGTGGCCGTGTTCCTGGCTCCGAGGATTGGTGCCCTTAGGATGGGCATACAAAACATGTGACCATTGAGTGGATTTCAGTTTAACGGCGGACGGGATCCTCGCGCATCAGCACAGATTCGAACTCCCTCCGCAGGCAGTAGTAGGATCTGACGGCAGCGGGGGGGAAGACTCCTCGGACGTTCGGTGCAGGCGTTGCGGGTGGGGTTCTGCCGTTGCCAGCCAGGGCCAGGTCCTGGGGAAAGCGTGGGGGCCCCTAGCGGTCCGAGCTGGAAGCAATTACCCAAGCCCTTCGCCACACATCGGATCCAGGACGTTTCGCTACTCATGCGCAGTGTGTCACCGATGGCATTGCTAGGGGGCCCCGTTACATTAGCTCAACCAACTCTGCTGCCTGGCGTAGGTTTGGGGCTGAGGTGGATGAGCGCCCTGGGGGGCCCCATCTTTTGCAAAGTGAAGTCTCACCTCTCGCGCGCCGACATATGGAGGTCAATTAGTCAGCGAAGATGATTTTATTGCGAACGAGGTGGCCGACCGAGTGGCCGACCTCGGTGCGAAGGAAGCCGCGATTCCGCCCCAGGCCAGGGCGAACCTCGCGGCCCAGGGTGAACTAGCCTCCAAGATAGCACTGCACTTGCTGACGGCGGGCCTGGAAGAGGCTAAGTGCAGAGCCCAGGTAGCCAACGGCAACCCAGGACCCACCCTAGCCGAGCAAATTGCAATGCAGAGAGCGAAGCGACTTGCCAAGAGAGTCGACCTCGTCGCTGCAGCCGCCACCTCTGCCGCCGCGCACAGGCCGCAGGCCTGGAACGGGGAGGCGCGTTGTGCTGTTTGCTTACTGTCACTGTCTCACACGAGAGCCGCTCCCAAACTTGTGTGTGCTTCCGCTCACCGTGTATAGGCCAGCCTGCCCTAATTCACTTCAGCCACCGCCTCAAGAACACTCGGGGCTTGTGGTGGTGCACCACGTGTGGCGGGTCAGGGGAGGCCAAGTTCCTGTCTCTGGTTAAGGAATGTACCCGAGCAACCAGAACAGGTTGCCCTGGCCCGCCTTGAGAAGGATGAGTTTCCCCCAAAGAGAGCCTCTTGGCCCGACGCGCCCAGAGGCTAGCACCCTTCGTCTTTCTTTTCCCGGGCCCCATTCTCCAATAGTGCACCATGCCCTTTGCGAGTCACCCAGGAGGAGGAGTCACCCAGCAGTAGGAGGAGGAGGAGGATCCCAGGGGCCCCCGAGCTGAGCGAAAAGCTGGGGGCACCTTGGGCCAGGGGCATTCTTTGGCAGCCCCCGCCTGGCCGCTCCGCCGCCCGCTGGCCATGGCCGCCGCCGCGGCCCGCCCGTCAGAGCAGCGGCGGCCGCGGGCGAGCCCGCCCCCCGCCGCGCGGGCTGGCGGCGCCGGCGCACGCGGGCCTCGGGCGGCGCGCTCGCCTCCCGCGGGCGGCGGGCCCGCGCCGAAGAACGTGTCGGTCTTTGCCTTCAGCGGAGGAAGAGATACCCATACCGTGGAAGCTCATGCCAGGAAGCGCCCAGCTCGCCTCCAGGGTGCCCTGGGTCTCTCGGGTGTCGATGTTTCCGCCATGGACAGCGTGACGTTCCCACACCAAAGATCAAAGGATGTCCTGGGGTCTCAAGGTCGGGTTTCTTGTGGAAGGTTTCTTGTGGTCGAGCTCCTACTGTACTCCTACCCTTCGCCCGTTTCCCCTTTTGGGGGACTACTGCGAAACCCTCGTCGCCAAGGTTAGATTCGCCTCGACATTTCGGTCAGAACGCACCGCGGGAGAGGTTTGGGAAGCAGCGGTATCGGTGCTTGTTGGTTTCCCCATGAGCGGTGGCGGGGGAGGGGTCGGATGCTGCTAGAAGCCAGACGGCCCCAGGGGCTCTAAAGTGAACCGATAAGTTGGTGGCACCGTGGGCCAAAGACACCTTCAGCAACCCCCGAAGGGCGGTAAGCGAGGAGGAGGAGGAGGAGGAGGAAGAGGAGGAGGAGGTGGCCTTCTCAGAAGGTGGCGGGGTTGCTGAAAAGCCCTCTGGCCTTCTGAGAAGTTTCCGGCGTCTTCGAGGAAGGCTCAGAAAGTTTTGAAGGCCAGAGGCCTTCCGAGCTTTCCGATAAAGCCCGCCCCTTTTCACTTCACCCCTCCACGCGCCGCCGATTTGGGGATGCAACTCCTGGGAGGGCAACTCCTGGGAGGGCAAATTCTGAATCGGCGGTGGCACATCCCTGGTCGAACACAAATTTCCCAACCTGGCTCCATCTCGCTTCATCTGGCCCTGGCTCGATCCGGCTTCATCCTGGACTTACTCCGGCCTGCTTCGACCCAGTGTCTCCTCAATCGGGCCTAAGTTCTGGCGAAGACTTCCCAGAAATTGCCTCCCAGGTCCTCTGCCGGGTGCGCCCGGCGCTGCCGCGGGAGCTGGGCGAGGGCGGGAGGTTCGTCGTTGCCGTCGACGCGGTCGGCGTCGGTTCGGGGGGCCTTGCGGGCAGTTCTCGCCGCCACGGCTGGGCGCGGCTCGAGGAGGGAGGAGGAGGGAGGAGGAGGGAGGAGGAGGGAGGAAGGTGGAGGAGGAGGAGGAGGAGGAATGGCGGCCAGGGTGGGCCCTGGAAAGGGTGCGGGTGATGAGCGGTGTGCGCGGGCTCGGGTCGGGGGCGGGGCGAGGGAAGCCTTCTGCTGCCACAGCCTCCTCCTCCTCCTCCTCCTCCTCCTCCTCCTCCTCCTCCTCCTCCCTCCTGCTCCCTCCTCCTCCTCCTCCTCCTCCTCCTCCTCCTCCTCCTCCTCCTCCTCCTCCTCCTCCTCCTCCTCCTCCTCCCTCCTTCTCTCTCGCTCTCTCTCTCCTCTCTCTCTCTCGTTATCTCTCTCTCTCTCTCTCTCTCGTTATCTCTCTCGCTCTGTATCTCTCCCTCTCTCTCTCTCTCTTTCCCTCCTCCCCCGGGACTCGCCGAGACAGGGCCGATCTCCTCCGAGGAGCCCTCGGCCGTCGCAGCAGGCCGCCCCCCTCGCCCTGCCCCCCAGCGGTGCGCGCCGCCGAGGTTCGTCGGCGCGGTCGCAGCGCAGCCAGCGCAGGGGCGAGTCCTGGTGTCGGTGGAAGACAAGCCCACGCTCGTGGACGGGCGCCTGGGGCTCGAAGAGCTTCCCGACCACGTCCGCGGCTTCCAGCTGGACGCTGTCCTGGACGGGACCGCAAGCCAGGGCGAGGTGGTGCAGGCGCTTGACCTCCAGCAGGGCGCGGAGTCTGTCCTCGCCGGCGTCAACTGCACCGTGCTCGCCTACGGCATGACTGGCTCCGGCAAGACCCACACGATGGGAACATCGGGGGGGCGCGACGGCGTCATCCCAAGAGCAGCCGATACCCTGTTCCAGCTGAGTGGCCAGGCCGACGTGGCGGCCTCATACGTGCAGCTCTACGGGAACAGAATCACTGATCTATTGGTCAGCGAGGGTGCTCCCCTCGTGCTGCGGGAGGCAGACGGCAGGTTTCAGGTGCAGGGGGCGGCTCACAGAGCGGTGCGCTCCACGGACGATGTCTGCAGGCTGCTTGCCGAGGGAGCAGCGAGGAGAGCAGTTGGGTCCACGAATTTGAACGCTGTGTCCTCGCGCTCGCACGCAGTCTTCACACTTCACGTGCTCAACGAGGACGAGGACCACGTATCTGAAGCACACTGGACGTTTGCAGACCTTGCAGGGTCCGAGCGGGTCAAAGAGTCGGGCGTATCGGGCGCAGCACTAGCAGAGGCCTGCAGCATCAACAGTTCGCTCAATGCCTTGGTGAACGTGGTCCGTGCGCTGCGAGAGGGCAGCAAGGCGGTGCCGTATCGTGACAACAGGTTGACGATGTTGTTGAGGGAAGCTCTCGGGGGCAACAGCGCCACGTGGCTGCTCGCCACCGTGTCGCCGGCCCAGGTGCACGGCCGAGAGTCCGCGAACACCCTGGCATTCGCAGTGGCGTGTTCGTCTATCAGCAACGCGGTGGCCGCGAACAGAAGCAAGCGGCACGCGCCGTGGAGGGAGCCCCCCAAGGCGAGGAAGGAGAGGCCCGCTCCCCTGCATCTCCCGTGGGCGTCCGCGGAGTTCCCGCGCGGGGACGTGAGGTTGGTGGCCGCAGGTCTCCGCCAGGTAGCCGTGACGGTCTATGGTGAGGGCCGCCCCGCTGTGCTGTTGCACGGGTACCCGTCTGATGCGAGTTCCTGGCGCTGGCTTGTTCCCGCACTTCTCCACGCTGGCTATCAGGCTATAGCCGTCGACATGCCTGGCTGCGGGCACTCGCCAGGACCAGAGCTGAAGACACACAGCCGCTTCAACGCGGAGGCGGGCGGCGCGTGCGAGGTGGTGCTCGGGACCATGGACGCGCTGGGGCTGGGGCGCGCCACCTTGGTCGGCTACGACTGGGGCGGCGGGGTCGCGCTGAGCCTGGCCCTTGGATGGAGGTCGCGTTGCGAGCGCGTCGTCGCGTTCCACCCGAGTTTCAATGCCGCCCCTGGGCAGGAGCTTGCGACGGTCTGCACCCCGCTGCTGGTGGTGTGGGTCAAGGAGGACCAGTTCCACCCGCTCGCCGCCTGGAAGAAGGTGGCGTCGGGCCTCGCGGCCAAGGCGTACACGCTGGAGGTATTCAGCGTGGGCGTAAACCGGGGAGAGGGCAGCTATGGCACCCACCCAGTCGTCGGTGGCCCCATCCAGGCGAGGATCGCGAGGTTCTTGGGCTGGGTGGACCCGAGCGCCGAGGGCGTTGAACTGAAGCGGCGGCTGGAGCGCGATGCACAAACCACTGGCGGCGCCCGCGTGGTCGAGCAGCGGAACGTTGTCCTGGCCGAGGATATGCAGGATGCGGCAATAGCTCGCTCGCTCACAGAGAGTGTCAGCGCCGAGGCGGCTGCCGTGCTCCGGCTGCGCGAGGCAGCGGCGGAAGGGCGGCTGGCAGATCTGTACGCTGCGGCGCCTTCGGGGCTCTTCAGCGCGCTGCCGGAGCTGTCGCCGAGCCGGCTCGCCGCGGACATGGAGGTGCTCTTGTGGTGCGGCCTCTGGGCGGCGCTTCCCAAGGGCTGGGACGCCATGTCTCGCTCTCCGAGGTACTTCCCCGGCCGACGCGTGCTCGTGCGTGCTCCCGTCTGTGCAAGGCCAGCCTCTGATGCGTACATGGCTTGGGACAGCGACGGGGCGGTGCTCACCACGCACAGGGCTACCATCTCGGCTCTGGGGGAGGCGGCAGAGGTGGCGGTCGAGCTCCACGGGGGTGGGTCGCACGTCATGGGAGCTGCGCGCCAAGGCCTGGAGGCGTTGAACCAGCCGCACAAATTCAAAGAGGTGCGGGAGGGTATCTGCTGCTTCGAGGACGGCATCCGGTGTAATTACAACTCTCCGCTGACAAAGGCAAAGATGTGCGAGGCGGCGCTCCTATTGGCACCCCTGGTCGCCCAGCTTGACTTCGAGGAAGACCCGCGCGTGGCAGAGGAACTGCAGTTGGAGTGCATCCGCCGCCTGCGTTCCTGCCTCGGCATCGTTTCCTTCCAGCGCGGGCTCGACCGGGGCCGGGCGTGCGCGATGGCAGACGACGCAGCTCGCTTAGCGGTGCACGGTCAGGGCCATTGCCACACAGTGTCCTCGGTGATGTGCGCGTTCCTGTACCCGTGGGCTCCCGTGCTGGGGCTGGACCTGTGCTATCGCGGTGGCTTCTCGTTCAGGGGCGTGAACCCCGACGACAGCATCTCCTCCGACGTTGTGGTGGCTGATCGACCAGAGCGGCATCAGTGGTTGGAGGTGTCCCTGCGACCGAGCATGCGGCGCTTCGTCGTGGACCTCTGGGTGCAGGATGGGCCCATGGGCGAAGGCGCCCTGCGCTGGGACGCCGAAGAAGCCTACCAGCACAGGATGTACCCTCACGGGCAACTCTGCTTAGGCCAGACGACCGAGAGGGCGGTGCCGACAGATTGGGCGGCCGTGCCTTAGGTTCCCCCCCTCCGTTAGGCCATGAACTCGCTGCGCTGGCCTCTCGGTCCCGCGGGCGGCGCTTGCCGTGTCGTGAGTCCCTGCTGGAGGTGGACGTGGGGGGAGCGGAGTGTGGAGTCGGGTGGTGAGCGTGGAGGTGGGGGTAGTGGAGTGTGGAGGTCGGGGGAGTTGAGTGTGGAGGTGCGTGTTTTTCACAACCTGCTGCGATCGCGGCGTCAGCCTCCTCATCCACCGGGAGCTGTGCAGGGTGGGCCTTCAGATTGGACGCTTTTGCGCCACAAGCCATATGTCCCTCCTGATGCCTCGCCCCTCCGCCCCTGCTGCTCCCCCACCTCCTGATCCTACAGGTTCCCCTTCTCCTTCCTTGCCTCCTTCCTCCCCTGCATTCCACGTCCTTCCTCCCCTTCGCTCCTCCGTTCACCCTCCTCCTCCTCCTCCTCCTCCTCCTCCCTCCTCCCTCCGCGGGCAGGTGGGGCCAGGCAAACGGCCTGAGTCTGGAATCCAGGCCACTTTGACCCCGCCTTCCCCCCCCCCCTCCTACACCTTCCCCCTCCTGCACACCTCTTGTCCTCCTCTGCGCCCACCTCTGCCCGCCTCCTTTTCCCCCGCTACTGGATGCGGCCGGGAGCGGCCAGAAACCGCACGCTGCGGGCGGCGAGGCATATCCGGACCTCCTTGCCAAGAGGGCGGGCGGAGGAGGAGGAGGCGGAGGAGGAGGAGGAGAGGAGGAGGAGGATGAGGGCTCGGCGCGCCATGCCCGGGCCCGATGGCCTCGTCCGAAGGCGCGGTTTACCTCCAGGCCGGGTACGAGGACGCTGGCAATCGCAATGCATTGGCAGATGGTTGGCCCCCCGATGCGCAGTTGCTGCAGGCTGTCGAATTGCTCCTCGACGGTACTCGTCGCAGGAGGCGTCGTCGGCGATCCAACTTCGGCCTCTTCCTCCTCCTCTTGATCCGTTTCACGAAGGGGACAGCGTGGTTTCTAGATCATTATCTTCCTCCTTCGCTCTTTCCTTTCATTTCACCTCTCACAGATTCCTTCCCGCCCTCGCCCTCGTCCTCGTCCTCGCCACCTCCTCCTTCTCTTCCTCCTCCTTCTCCTCCTCTTCCTCCTCCTTCTCGCTCTCCTCGTCTCATCCTCTGCCCTAATGCGCGGCGTCAATGAACAGTTTGAACACACGTGTGCGCGGCACCAAACAGAAAACCTTATCCCGAAAACCATTGGC